TAATGTGCTTTTAGCTTTATCCAAGCAAACTACCTCAAAAGTTGAAGGAGAAAAAAATACTGTTACAGAGCCCTAAAACTTATTTTTGTAGAACATAACTAGATGATCTTGACTTTGCTTAGTGCTTCTTATACAGCTGCTAACTACAGGTTTGATTTAAGAAAAAAGAGGAAGACAAAAGGTACTAATGCAGACATACGGTGCAAGTCTTTAAAGACAGTATTACAACCTTCTTTCTTAGCAGTGTCTCATAAAAATGTGTATTAAGCTAGCCCTTTGTAATCACAGAATCACAGAATGTTAGGGGTTGGAAGGGACCTCTGTGGATCATCCAGTCCAACCCCCCTGCTGAAGCAGGGTCACCCAGAGCAGGCTGCACAGGACCTTGTCCAGGCCCCGTTGCCCCTTGTTCTGTCGCTGGGCACCACTGAAAAGAGTCTGGCCCCATCCTCCTGACACCCACCCTTCAGATATTTATAAACATTTATTAGATCCCCTCTCAGCCTTCTCTTCTTCAGGCTGAACAAGCCCAGCTCCCTCAGCCTTTCCTCACAGGACAGATGTTTCAGTCCCCTGATCATCCTCGTAGCCCTCCACTGGACTCTCTCCAGTAGCTCCTCATCTTTCTTGAACTGGGGAGCCAATCTGTCTTCTCACTAATTCTGGCAGGCCTAAAGCTGAGTTGCCATGTATGCTTGAACTCCCACCAACAAGTGTCACCAATAGAGTGTTTTCAAGTTCTGTTACAAGAATATCTTACAGAGATCACTTTGCAATTAAAAGAAATACGAAATACAAGCACAAGGCAGAAAACATTGTATGAAGATTTAAAGGACAGAAGTAAAATTCAAATGGATACTCTTGCTCGGTGACTGCAGAGGGGGTGAAGACGACTCCATGACGCTATAGATGCAGTCCATTCATTGGGACAGGGTGAACAGAAAGGATGGAGAAAGGTTCCACCGTGCATAAGAAGGAACCCGTGAGCCTACCAGAAACCCAGCTCCTTACTCTTTGTTTCACAGCTCTTTGACAGTGTGTTTTCTTCATCTTGCTTTTCTCTTTCCTCCCTACAAAGCTCTACAATACACGTTAAACTCGGTGGTAGGAGGCATCCCTGCACAAAGGGGCGATAGCCAGCTGCAATCCTAACAGCTCTGTCTAACAAAGCAAATGTTGAACGGTTTTGCTTCTTTCCTTAAATGATAAAGCAGAGCAGAGCTGACACAGTTTAAAGGAAAAGCAAAAGTAACAATGGAAGGAAGACTAAGAAGTCTCAATTAAATCAGCCAACTGCCTAATTTTAAAGTGAGAGACTCTTAATAGGCAAAGATATAGCTGCAATATCTCTAAATCAAGAAATACTTCTGACTCCATTTTTTTTCTTATCTGGGAAAGTCATTGATCTCTGGATTACTAGCTTGTTTATACTATACCTTTCTCCCTGGAATAGGCTGCCTATATAAAAATTTACAAATAAAAATGCTACAAAAATAATCAACCAGAAGCTGTAACCTTTATCTTTCAGGTTTTTATTAATCAAGAATTTCTTATGCTGCCTTACGATAGATAGATTTTTAAAGCTAGGTATTACAAATCATTATTCTGAACTGAAAGAAAACCATATAAAATGTATCCCACATTGCCCTAGTGGTTTGTAAATGCCTGTGAAAAGGGGATGCTTTAGAAAATTAATTACCAAAATGCATCATCTATTGAACCCATTCACTGTGAAATGTTTCCAAAGAGACACTATTCACAGATAAGCAAGAAAATAAAACCAGGTTTTCATTGTAGTTCCACATTTAAACAGCTACATGTAAGAGTTTTCTTTCCAAATAAGCACAGCTTATTTTTTATTTTTGACATGCATTTTCTGTGTTTTTCTGTTCTTGCATAACTCTCTTCCTATACTCACCCCAAGGCACCGTGATTATCAAAACAAAGGTTTGAGAAAAATACACTAAAAAAAAAAATTCTGGCTGATATTTGGCATTCTGATGCCTTGCCAGGTTTCATCAGTCACACCATGCCATGTAGACTAATGCAGTCTGATTGATGTAATTGACAGGGACTCCTCATCTTTCATGTGTTTGCTGAAGAATTTAAAGGTATCACGCAATCTCTGGACAGAATTCAAAGAGCTACTATATGAAAGAAAGATATTGTTATTTTATTTTTCCATAAAGATGTATTTTTTTTTTAACCCTTTGGGAGATTTTTTTTTTAGATAGTTTTTTTTTAAATTTCATGGATCATACAACTTTCGGTCTTCATTGGGAAATCTATGCTAAATAATTTCATCTTTAGACAGAAGCCAACAATAAAGCATAGATATCTCATTACAGCTTTATTATTTGGCTGCAGATTAGTACTTACACAGCAAAAAGCCTTTCAGGGATACAGAAATTGGGATATGAGGTTATTCTGTCTAAGCCATTCAGAAATGCTCATTCATTTAGAAATCTAATACTCTTCCCTTCACTCCGTCGAATAATACTTTTCTTCTCTAACAAGATGACAGAAGGGTTAAACTAAAGCGGGCCCTAGGAATTTAAAACCTAAACTTTTGAAACTAGCCTTTTTACATCCTCATTATAAGATAGTTTACTAATGAAATCTGATTTCAAGATAAGATGATCATGCAGATTAGAAAGAATGATCTCAACTTCACTAAATTACTTTTGAATAAAAACAAAATAAGACAATGATTTTCAAGCAATTTTTAAAAATAAATCTTTCAAATTACAATTACAAAACACCTGAACATATTTTTGTAAAAAATTTTCCCCAAATGGTGGATGTTATGCTATTTAGTGGAACACAAATCTATTTAACTTCAGGACCTAAATGACATTTAGAACGTGATAAATCCTCCAATACACATATTTTCTTGTTTGATATTTAAATGCTGCCTAAATTTTTCTTTTGTGTGTGTATGTGCGTGCACGTAATTAAAGTCAATGTTTTTATCTTTTTAACCCAAATATAATTTTCCCAGTTCAATAAAACTATTTCTTTGAAAACTCAGTTCCGATTCTTGTTTATTTTTCATGTTGGACACACAAGGAAAATCAATTACTTGTACAAACAGCTCTAGTAGTGAGATTCTCTGGTGGGATTCCACAGGTATACAGTAATCCCTGAAGCTCAGATGAATCTATCAAAGCAGCATTTACTTAGGTTTGTTTTTAATGGGTGGGGGAGCTTAATATAAACAAACATACAGTCAGATGTATTTCTAGAATTAAGGAGAAAATCTTGTTCTTTTCACAATGAACAATCTTATATCCCGTGCTAAGCATCACTGAATAAATTTTCACCAGTTGTTCCGCTTTCTGTACCACGGATGTCAACGGGTGCTGTGGGAACTCCAGCCACTTTGAAGTTAAAGAATGTTGAGCAGTGATTTGCTTTTGAAGTCCGATAAAAAAGATTACCATGACATCTACAACTTATGATTACGTTTATTCATGGAAGAAAACTAACCCTCAGTGCCACTTGTAAGATGTTTTATTTTTTAACTTATGATAGATGCTTTGAAATCTCCTGTGTCTACTGTATGTTTAAGATTAAATTTCTCAGTATTAAATATTCTGATCAAGTTTGAACCCTAACAGGATTCAGTATGATTCCCTTTTTTCTTCCTGTGTTATTCCAGTTATTGTCTTAGGTTTTACTCCAGTAAAACTCTTGTACAATTACTATCTACGAAGAAGGCTGCTGACTCTACAAAACGCTGATGTCTCCCTTTCCTAACTCCAAATTTGATAAACTGATAAAATTTAGTGTGTTATATTGGATACTGCAACATCACTAGATTGCCTGCTTCTAAAAGCCTTTCCTTGTGGTTTAGCAGTATTAAAACAGACTGTTTGGCTAGAGAAGATAGACAGAGGTCAGATAGGAATGAAAGGGGATGAAAAGTTATCCCACATATACTGGCAAGAAACTATCGTGAGGCTTCTGAAGAAAGCTCAGTCAGAGCTTGACCCTGGACTTCTTGGATCTGTTTTAATGCTGTATCTGGCATTACGCAGAAGTAGTACTACCTAATATATTTTTTTAAAAGGCTTAAAGTTGCTAGTAACGCATTTCTTAGTTTTACAGACCAGGAAGGGATATTTTATCATAACCATCGTACACCAGAACCATCTTATATGTTCTGAATTTCAAAACTAGTTGGTTGATTTCAAATTCTGTAACTCAGGCATCGCCGCATCCCCAGATATAGACTGACCTAAAGCTAAACATCCCTGACTGGTGAAGCCATCAGAGTTTTTTATCTTATACTAGATTATGTATCTTTTGTATCTTATTCTAGATAACTCAAGTCTAGTCCAAGTTCATATAAGAGTCTATTAAGCAAAGTTAAAGCATTTGTGTAAACCAAACTTAGGTAACTGTTTTTTTTCATAAGCTAAAACATTTTTAACATGAAGTGAGTTACTGATATATATATGCATGTAACAATGATAGTGAAATACCAATAAGAATTATTTATCTTATTCTATAGAACAAATGCTCAAGGCCAGACAAGGTTTCTACTTATTGCACTTCAGCTGAGCCTCCTAAAGTGAAGCAAAGTATGAACCCTTAATTCATAAGAAGTTAGACTTGATACTTTGTATACAGAAAAAACAAAGGTCATAGTATATAACAATGCTTTTTATCACTGTGAAGGGACATTACCTAAACAAGAGGCATAGGTACCAAAAAAAAATGCTTTATTAATGTTAACATATAAAAACCAAATCAATGTGGTAAGGGTGATTTGTACCATAGCTGGTCCTGCGGAGTTTAAATGCAAATCTACCTTTAAAGGAATTAATTTTCAGATTATGCAATATCTTTTTGTTGATCAAGCAATCACCAATGATGACAAGACTTCTTCCCCTCCAGCAGATGAATATTTTGTAGAATACTGATAGATTGCTTATTACTAAGGTTATTAAAAAAAATAAGTTTACATCCATTTAGAAACCTTATTATTACTGTACCTGTTACTTTCAATCTGTCAGCTCCAATGACAATCTCATCTTCATCTGCAGAAAACAATACTTTTCCACCTTCACTTGCCCTTACTTCAAATCTCTTACACTGGGCTTCCACAGCATCAGCTCCTGAAATTAAGGAAGTGAATGTTTCGTCTAAGATATTTTGTAAGATCAAAAGTAATCATCAGCAGACATGGAAAACCCAGAACGCGTAGAATACAAGAGGCTTTTATAAAATAGTTCTCTTTCTGGAAACAAAATATTGTTAAATTAATTTACAGAGTAACTATTTCACTATTGCATAGAAGGACAGAATTTAAAATATTTATGAATTACTTCTATTTCAGTGTCATGTGTGGAAGCCAACACAAGAATTTGGAATGCACTTAAACCCCGAGATCTTGAAATGCCAATTCAGGCAGCGCTTTCTGGAGTTTGCTCAGCTTAAATTGCAGTTTCTTGCCGATGGATAAAAGGATAACATATGAGCCTATTCCACAAAGGCCACGAAATCAACACAGCAGAAAAGGGCATTTTTCATTCAGTTCTACTGTGAAATTGAAAAGCAGAATAACAAAATGAAAAACATTAAAAAAAAATTAAAAAGATGAACTTAGATATCACAATTTATCTCATATTCTATGAAACAAAATTCCCTAATGTCTCAAAGCTGCAGAACCCTAAAATAATTTTGAAATCAGACGTACGGAATTGCATCAAACAATGCAATAAAAAAGTTTGCAGATACCAAAACTCTGTTAAATTACTATGCTTTTCAATTTAGAGGTCTTCTCCTTGTTCTTCAGTGTTTCGTGTGCTAAATTATTTCTGAAAAAAATATTTTATTTTATTTTATTTTATTAATAAGTGAAAGTAAAATTTTAGTTCTGAAATTGTTGTCAAAAATCAATGAACTACATATAGCACAACCAACTGTAAGGCAAATTAGAAGATTTCAGGGGATAATCATCTGACAATTTTCTCATTGGTCCCTAATTAGATTTCTAAAGTACATCTGGAATGACCCATCAATCTATCTGGGTAAAATTACGCAGAAGACTTTATGGACAAAGAAATCCATGTATATCATTTCAGTTTTTATCAATATGGCTTATAGGCTTGTAAAAAAAACCTGTTCCATAATGTGGAAGTTTTCAGTATGACGTGTAAATGAATCAGATTATGTAACAAGAAATATAAAAGCTGTGACAACTAATTGTGGAAAAGCAGATCTTAATTTGCAGAAGCAGCTCTAAAATCAAAACAACAATTTCTCTTACTTATGGAAAAATTTACATTCATACTGTGAAAAATTTCTGGTAATTTTTAATTCATGATTGTAAAAAGAAAATGAAAAGGAATTATAAAAACACTTGTGATGCCCCATTTTCTTGAAGTTCGACTTGGTTTTTTCTGCTTTAAAAGTGTAAAGTGATCTTTTCTCTCTCCTCTCTCTCTCTCTGTACAATTGAACTTTATTTTAAATGTGATAATCAGGTATTTGACTTCATTTTGAAAAAATACTAGATATTTGTGAAGACAGACAGGGACGCATTTCAGATAACCTAGTGTTAACTATGGGATAAATGCTACATCTTGCAAACATTCCAGGATGCTCACTGATAAAAGGTATAACAAAGTCTAATTGTCCTTCAGGATAAATGTCATCACAGTATATATTCACACATAGCTGTCTTACTGAATTCATCCATTATTCTTAAATACTTTCCAAAAGTCAACGGTGATGTTCCTGATAGCGTTGCCCCCATCCACATCCAAATTAGTTGTTCAAAGTGCTAGCATTAGCTAGGGATATGTGCTAGCAATACAGATGGGAATCATACTCTGCTCTTTTGCACCATCACAGGTAAAGATTACTTCTAATAAACTGTTAAATTTTTATTTATATTTATATGTTATATGAATGCATATTTTATGAAACCCAGTGAGATCTAGGCATTATCAGGCCTCTGGTGAGTTGAACAGACTCTTGTGCATCTGTCCAGTGGCATGAACACAGGAGGAAATTAGAAGGTAAATGTATCAATTTTTTTCAGTTTTACTTCTTAGTTTGCAAATGTTAAGCTTGTATGTTGTTTTGCAAAACACTTCCATTAGAAAATAAATCATACTGTTGTTGACTATATGCAGTTACTCTCTGCAATTGGAATGACCATGTAACTCAGATTACTGTAAGAACTATAATAAAACAGATGACATTACTATTTCATTCATTTGAAAGAGGGAGAAAATATAATAAATTATAGACTGGTTTAAAACACTTGCAGAGATTACAGATGACCTTTCATAGACGACTTTTGAAGATTATGCAATGCACTGGTAATTTACACACAACCGTGACCCAGTGCTCAGAACGATACACAATAGTCACGGTGACAAAATAAGTGGTAGCTTCTTATAAGAAATAAGAATGCATGCTACTATTTAACCATTGTGCTATAGTTGGAAGAACAATTGTACCCTCTGTGTGTACCATAGATATTTTGCCACTGTGTTCTCTGGAGGGGAAAAAATCAGGCGTGTTACTAAGTTGTTTTGGTTGCTGTCATTAAATCTTACATTGAAAAGTTCAAAATCAAATAGCCTTACAATGGTAAACACAGATACCATTTACATTTCACACAAGCCTTTTACAATGTCTAGCTTTTATCCATGGGTATATATTTTCTTACTGCTTCTGTTGAAATTTTTCTCAGAATCGCAAAAAATTCCAATGTTATCAAAACATTGCATTTAGATACACTTTTGGAATGGTGTTTACATTTGGTTTGGAAATGTGTGTTCTTTATTTTGAAATATTTACAGGACATACAGTTAAAAAGCATTAATTTAATGCAAGATTTGTGAAAGCAATAATAAAATGGGCCTAAAATACATTCCTTTGAGGAAAACTGGAAGCAATAATTTTTCCTGTTTTGGTCACAAGTTTGATTTTAAAATCTCAAAGCCCTTCTGGAATTGTGTATTTATTTTTCTGCACAAGCCTAGTATTCAATTAATTTGTGACTTTCCTTCAAAGACCTGTCTTAAAACAGCCACTTCATGAGGGCTGCATTTTGGATTAGTATTAGAAAGTGTAAATAAGAGTTCTGTCGCAGAAGAAAATTTCAGTTAACAAGAAATATGAATTGTGTTTTAAAGCAACAAGCTCATAGTTTCAGGTTGCTTAAAAACTACCAGAATGTTCTGTGCTAACCTCTTGCCTACCAGAACATATTAACAGACGTGGAAGTTGGTAGGCTATCACAACAATCCAGAAGATCACACGCATTAAAGGCTTTAAACAACACTATATACGAAGCGCGGTAGTCTTCTTCCTCCCATTTTGCAGGAGGAAAACATGTTGGGCTAGACACGAGGGTACCACCAGTCTCTAAAATGCAGCCAGTTCCTGCCAGTCAGTGCGTTTGTGGAGCTATCTGGTCCCCCTGCACGTGTCCCCAGGCTGGCGTGTCATGCCCTGTACTGGTGTGGCATGCCCTGTACTGGTGTGGCATGCCCTGTACTGGTGTGCGTGCCTGCTGGGCAGCCTGTCCGA